TTTATCCTTGTCAATCCACTTGCGTTAAACATTGTCATATGTTCATGCACTCCAAAATTCATTAACTGCCACGTATGATTAATTATTATGAGGATTCCTTCATCATTACAATTGGATCGCCAGAACGGAAATTACTTTCGACTCAAACAAATATCACTCGTTAAGACAATAAAAAAAATGAAATAATGTTGAAGCACCAAACATCTTTTTTAGCTAATCTGAGGGCGCTAAATCTGAAAATGACCTTACTTTTTCTTGTTTAGCTACCGTTTTTGCTGTATGCCTCATTTTTGGAAAAACAGAATTTTTGTTCGTTTTCTGTATATATGATATTGATCGATGCCAATATTTCTCAAAATAAAATCGAAGAAACCTCTCAATTCGTATTTAAACCCAACAAATATTGGTTTGCTTATTGAGAAATACTATTTTTCCAATAACAATCAGACCCTAATTCTTTAAAAATAACATGATTAAATATACCAAAACCCTCAAATCATTTAATAAACTAACACCAGAAATAAAACCTTCGTGAACATGACAACTATGGTGAAAATTTTCTCTTTCTTGATTGTCTGTCATGTTCAGTGTTATTTAAGTCCCTGCTCCAGCAGTATCATGCACAGTGGAATAGGTGCATTCAATTGGGATGTCTTCAATTGGAGTTTCTTTCCAACTGTGGTAACAGAATTTTCTCATTATGATTGGTTTCCTTCCATAGTCAAGGGATAAAAGTGATGGGATAGATTTATGAAAACTAAACAGATTTTAGTGTTTCATTTTTTTGATGTCACCTTAATTATCAGCGATAAATTGGAAAAATTCGGTACTTCTATTCTAAAGATTTTGACTCAAAAAACACTTTTTTCCTTATAAAAATAGTTTATTTCAAGTAGCTGACATAAATTGCTCAGCCTATCTGAAAATTGATGGGTTTCTACAACTTTTATTAACTAAATTTTGCGATCAGCCAAGATCGTAAATTGATCTTTTTTTTCCAAAAGGAGCAATTTCAGTACAGCAAAAACGGTAGCTAACCATGAAAACTAAGGTCATTTTCGGAATTAGCACCAGCAAAATTAGCTAAGAAACGTGTTTTGTTTCTTGCCACCAAAAATCGTGTTGAACAATGTAAATGGTATATTACTTTCAAGGAGAAAACTTTTCAATAATTTTCTCTTGCGATATTAACTTGCATATTATTTTTGCTTAAAACATAGCTTTTTCACAAATGCTACGTACACATAAGTTTAACCCTAGAACACTAACCATGCGTATATAGTACCCAGCGCAAATTTTCCTATTTTTAATTTTCCTATAGTTAATTACAATTTTCAGTACCTGATTGTCTTACTTAATATGTTACTCTTAATGTTAACTCAAAGTATAAAGTTTGAAGTGCCTGCATGTAAAATATTTCAAATAAAGATTTATATTTAATATTTCTTTTGATATTTTCAAAATTGGGTATGATATACCCATGGTTAGTAGTGGTGTAACTTTAATTGATGGTTAGTATTCTAGGGTTAATAAATGTCAACCAACTCAAAATGTTAAATAATTTGTTTTGTTGTAGTTATTGGAATTTAATTCATAAAGTATGACATTAAACAGTTTTCTTGATTTTCTCTGTAACGATGAGTTGCATTTAAATATAATTGTTCCTGTAATCTTAACTTCATACTTAAGCTTTTTCATCTCTCATCACCATATGTGTCGCTCTTAACATTTGGCCGGAACCATGCACTTGGTAATTCATTATCACGAAACGAAAGATTTTGAAACAAAGAATTACTGAACTATTACGTAATATCAGTCCTCCTATATGGTAGGGAATGCTGAACAAACTCCTCAAGGATGAAGAAGAACAGTTGGAATCTTTAGGCCACATATTGAGAAAAGAGGGTATAGAAAATTTGATACTCACAGGCAAGAGGGACAGAGGAAAACAACGCAAACCTACCTAGCGAGCTTGAGTAAATAGATAGCAGAGCAAGATTTAGGAGCAATAACAAAAAGACAAAATTTATTAGGAGGAACAAAGGACAGGATGTAGTGGTGGGCTATGGTCGCGCACGTCCTGAAGGGACACGGTACATACAAGAAAAATTTCAGGTGATTGATATTAATTGAATAACAGCGAAAACTTATATGCCCATTTTTTTTCACCTTCTTCGTGCCGTTTCTACAAAGAAGTGAAAGATTATAGTTCTCCACAACTTCCTTTTCTTTGTAGCTCTTAGAAATAGACATTATTGTATATTTACTATCCTTTCAAAACTTTGTAAGCTTGTTAAGTAGGTTATTCGCAGTTTTCTTTTGACTATCTTGCAAGTATCAAATTTTCCATGACCTCTTTTGTATGTCCCTTCCCTTCCCGATTCTAAATAAAAATGTCTTTTATTGCCATTTTCTTTAAAGCTACCTCGTTCTTCACATGCACTGTCCATGTTATTCACAGCAATTTTCTGTAGAACTGCATGTCTGTGGCCTCATTTCTCCTCTTTATCTGTGAGAAAATTGTCCAGAATTCACTATGGAGGAGAATTGATATTACATAGCAGTTCAGCGATTTTTCCTTCTTTTTCTAACGAAATTTTCCTGTTTCGTAATACTTTCTTTTGCTTCTAGAAGGCATCTTTCACTCTCCCAACGCGCGTTCGGATTTCGATATCATATTTTCCATCATTTGTCAAAACATTTGCGAAATATCTAAATTTTCGTACTTGATTTTATCCTCTCGAATTCGTAACTAGCGTCTTGTCTGTTTCTCTTGCTGATGGCTATACATCCTGTTTTCTTTACAATTAATGGTTTGTCCTTTCTTCACGTTTTTCCTTTGCTACCTTGTCACGCACTTCCTGCAGTTCTCTTTCATTGTCTGCCATTAGCACAGTGTCATCTGTTAAGTTAAGATTGTGCCCACTAATAACAAATCCCGTTCTCTTAGGATTGTTTCAGTGTAAAGATTAAATTTAAATACATTAATGTAGACTGCTCTATTGAGTATGCAGTCACACCCTCACTCCGTTAGGCGTCGCTGCTGTGATTTCCGTAGAAAGTAGATATTTACACGGTGAAGTTGCCGGTCGCACGCCTAAATGCTTTTTTTTTTTTTTTGGTTGTTTTAATCATTTCATCCTAAGCAAGGTAATAAAGCCACTAAGACGCAATGTGTGTATGTGTGTGTGTGTGTGTGGGGGGGGTTACTGAGTACGAAAGAATACGAAAAATTAAGACTTTATTAAGGAGAGATAACAATCAAATAACAGGAATTAAGAAGACAGAAGATAACGGTTGTCAGTGCATTTAAATTTTTAAGGATCAAATTTGACTGGAAAGAAGAAGCCGGAAGAGAGTTCCACATTTATGTAGTGCCAGTGAAGAAACTGTCAGCATAGAACTTATGGTTACATCTAACCATTTCAACAGTAACATGTGGAGACTTTACCACCAATTTAGTACTGCACTTAAATCCATAAAGTCTAGCTAGCAAAGAGGAAAGCAATATTTATTTTGAAAAACACAAAAATGTGGCATGTCCAAAAGTGAGGATAGGGAAAAGCTGGTCTTCAATGCGTCTTATCTAGCCACGTTTACTGACCCAAATATACCACCATATTCCAGACACCAACACAACACATTCTTGTTTACCATTCTTACTACAGTTACCATAATACCTCAAGTCTCTACGTAGTCCTAACCAGTTCCAAAAGCTCATCAGAACGATTACCATGAAAATATTTATAGAAAAGGCAGAGGGAAGCTACGTTACAACGAAACGTGAGAAAATAATTGCAGAGATGCCAGCTCAGGACCAATAACATTACAGATTCTTCTTTTTATTTCATCAAGAATCTCTAAATACATAACAAGCAGCAGATAAGATGTCGCAGAAATATTCAATGCATGAACGAATGGTCGACTTATAAATATCTAAAATAGATTCCGGCGAGAAAAATTCTCTAGTACGACACAGTGAACCAACTTTCCTATCAGCAGATCTAGCAATTGATTCAATATAATCTTTCCACTTCAGGTCAGCGGAAAACGTTAGACATGCACAATGATTTTTTAAAGTTTGGATTGCCCTCATTCTTTACTGATTGCCAACAAATTCTAATGTCTGCCCTGCTAATAAGCTGAGAGAGAGAGAGAGAGAGAGAGAGAGGAAAGAAATGTGGGATTCATATCTTTCCCCAGGGTATTTGTGCGAACGCTTGAATTTGGTCTTCACATATTAACACCTCTTCCATATCGATTACCGCTACGCTCCGCGAACATCCAATTAAAACCAAATACTCCTGAAAACATAATATGAAGATGATTGCATTGGAAAAATAAAACAAATGAACGAAAAAAATATGGAGACATGTTGCAAAAAAACAAAAACAAAACAAAAAGATAAAAAATAGAAATATTTTTTCGGTGTTGTAACATAGGGAAGTTTACTGAATAGAATAATAAGAAGAATGTTGGTAATGAATGATAACACTTAGGAAAAGAACAACACATATAGGATTCGCCAGCGGTGCGTAGAAGGAGTAGTCAACTACTAGAAGTTAGTAAAGTGAATTCCACAATGAATTTCCAACTGCAAGGTAGCTATCAACCACCCCACGTGGCCAGATGTGGCACAAGGCCGAATTTAATGTGGGGTGTTCGAGCCCGTAGGCTGGGCCAAAAATTCCCCGTAGACCCCGTATAAAGCGTGGCCGCGTAGCTGTTTCCCGAGACGAAACTCTGCCCTTCGACATAGCATCGTCTGGAGATCCTCTCTGCCTGGATGTGGAGGGTTTGACCAGCACAGCTGGAAACGAATCTCCAACTGCAGACCAACATACAGTATTCACTACTGCATTTATGAGAATGGGGGCCTAACCATTATGGTATGCTACAATATTCGGTATAATACTCGGTATTAATTAAAAAAAATATCTTTAAATTTCTAAGCTGTGAAAAGAACATTCTTCCTCAAAATGATTAGAAGGAAAAAAAAC